GTTTCTGAAGCTGGGAAGTCCAAAGTCCAGGGAACACATCTGGTGAGAGTCTTCTTTGGTAGTGGCTTTACAGCAACATAGGGATCTCAGATGTCAGAAAATGGCAGAGTAGAGACAGAGAGACTCATGCTCTCCTTGTAAAATGCTCAGAACCACTCCCACAACCACCATTAAACCATCAACTTAATCACCTCTTTAAGGCCCGTGCTTTCCATTACCATAATAGGATTTCCCATCCTCAACAGTACAGTGGGGATTAAGTTTTGAGGAGACACTCAACCCAAGGCAGAAAGTAGTAGGCCTTAGAAAAGTACTAGGGTGGAAAGCAAGAAATATACTGCCACCAATTCTGTGGCTGGAGTAAGAAGTGGTGTAGAGATGATTTTGAACTGATGCATGAGGTACGTTCAATGTAGTTTCTGCAATAACAAAGACTCTCTGGTTTTCTCCTACCTCTCTGGACACTCTTTTCATAGATTCCTTTTTGGACTTCCTCTGCCTGTGCCTTAAATGCTGAGTCTTCCTCTGGGATCTGTAACAAGTCTCCTATTTGCACTCTCAGTACACTTTCTAGATTAGCTCATTGATTCTCATGTCTTCCAGTATCCTTTGGGCAATAGCACCAGCATACATCTTCTGTGCTTCAGATCAGTCTATTCAACTACATACTGAACAGCTTCACTTGGACGTTCTGTTGGTGCTAGTGTGTCAAAATGGAAGTGTCCTAAACTCATTCATTATGGTCTATTTCACCCTCTCTCCCTGTTGCAGCTAGGTTTTCTTCCTGATGCTCAGTGGTTCCTAGTTGCCCAAGCCAGAAACCTGGGCATCTCCATGGACTTCTCCCTCTCCCCCACCACTCTGCAACCAAGTTCTCTTGATTCACTCTTCTAAATATCTCAGATCTATTCATTCATCTCCATCGTTATGGGTACTGCCTTAACCAGATCACTACTATCCCTCAGTTGGATTTTAGCATGCTAATTGACCTCTCAAATCCATTCTTGGCTTTATAACCTTTAAGAACATGGGTTCTAAGTTCTAGTCCTGGCTGCACCACCTCTTAGCTGTATAATCTTGGTCAGATTGCTTAATCATGTTAAGACTCAGTTTCCTGATCTGTAATATGTGGACAAGAAAAGTACCTACTTCACAGGGTAGTTGTGAGAAGTAAATGAAGTGATATATGCAAAGTTATTAGCATATTGGCTGACTCACAGTAAATGATAAATAAATGTTGGCTATCATCATTATCATTCCAGGGTTCTTCATAATCCAGCCTCTGCTTATTTCTCCAGTTTCTTCTCTGACTGCTTCCTTCTTACTTACTCTTTCATTGTTCTGAACTTCTTTCAATTGCTCCATATCTCATGCTCTCTTTTGCCTCCAGGACTTCTCTCTGCTCCCTTTTCCTGGAATTCTCTTCTGCTTCACTTTTCCCCCTTATTCATCCTTCTTAATTTATGCATCACTTTTTCTGGGAGGCCTTGATTTGGTTTTATTTATCTGTATTCCAGTAACGCTCGAGTCATTATCAATTACTGCATTGTTGGCCCCCCAGATCTTAGCTGACCAGTGACTCCCAGGAGTGTTCCTCTAGACGTGAACATGGGTCTCCTTTTCCTTTTCTAACCTCATTGACAGTCCGATGGCCTTTCTATCACGTGGGGAACAGAAAGTATCACCCTAGGATAAAATCTGTTATCTCTAACTCCAAATTCACTGTATTATGTTTTCCTCGAAATATTATGTATTGGATGTTTGAAATTGCCAAATAGTGGTCATTTCATATGGTTCATACTAAATGTGATATTATATATTGGACACATATCTGTACTGTAATGCAAACTGTTAGTAGTTACAGATTGGAAGGATGATGGGGTTGGGCAGGTGGGCCTGGGACCGCTGGAATTTGTGGTGGAGGTAGACAAGTAAGTGAGAAACCGTAGATGATAAAACAAGCCGGACTAAAGCTTCCAAACATTTTGCTCCGCTTAGAAGTGGAATTATTTGGTTCAGAAATGCTTTGCCTTGGAGCTCACGAAGGCAGGCCCAAAGGCCACTGTTCAGACCTGCAGGCCTCTGAGTGGGAACCCGGCGGTCTGAGGGTCTTCACACCCCCGGGTTCAGCGTCCCTGCGGCCAGCACAAACCCGTCCGCGCTGAGAGACGGCCGCCAGGTGGCAGCAAAGGCTCGCAGATGTCTCCTTAGAGGCTCTTCTCCAATGTACTGTAGTTTTCCTTTTTAACGAATTGCTCTAACACTCTTAGAACTTTAATTTTATAATCCGAATTAGACCATGTGAGCAGAGGCTCCGTTTGTCATTTCCTCCTAGAATTGTATTTATTTGTTCCTGCCAGAATTTTTACTTATTTTGTTCCTCTGTCATTTCCAAGAATCCCAGACTTTCCCTTGCCAAGGGAAGGCCTTGCCTAGCTCAACCCGAGTGAGGAGCCGGACGGGCGGGATGGACGGCGGCAGAGCCGGACGCCAGGCAATGAGCCGGCCCGGGAGGAGGAGCAGGGCCGGGGGCGTCGCCAGCGGGAGCCCCGAGAGTCAGCAACCAGGGGCTGGGCCGACTTGCTGCCGCTCCGCACTTCTGGCAACTACGGTGGAGATGCCGACCTGATGCCATGGAAAACGGCTTTGGAAAACGGCTTTTGGGGGAGGAGATTTGGCCATCCTCACCAAACCCTACCTCGCAGCGCACTGATCTTTTCGCGCCTTCCAGAACAGGGCAGTGGAGACTTGTCTTGGCACAAATGAGGCGAGCAGGGCCTTTTCGTGGCTTCCAGGAGGACCCCCGGGCAGGTGCGGCTGGCCTGGGGGCCGCGTGCAGTGTGGCCCCGGGGCCCTCACCCATCCTCCTCCCCTAGTCGGGCGGGGGTGCTCCCCGAGGTGACAGGAGGAAGCGGGAGGTGGAGGGAAGAGAGGAGGTCCCGCCCCCACCTCGCTCTCCTTGACGGGAAGTGATGTGGGGCCAGACGGAAAATACCCGCCAACGACCCAAAAAAGGCTGGCAGTGGGTGGACGCGGCGCGTGGGGACACAGAGCGGCGGTGGGGACAGGACAGCGAGCTGAGCCAGGTGAGGGTGGTG